TGCTCTCTGGAGCAGAGACGCCATGCTCCTCTCTCTGGGGCAGACACATGCAATGAGGCTCCGACCCAGGATGGATGTAGGCTAGAATCTCCCTGGTAAGCCACCTCGTGGGCTACACAGATGATTAGAAATGGGCTAGTCCAGGTGCGAGAATTAGCCTAGAAGAGGCTAGATAGAAATGGGCCAAGCAGTGTTTGAAAGAATACAGTTTGTGTGTTGTTATTTCGGGTAAAGCTAGCCGGCGGCCAGGGTGTCGGGGATGCAGCCCCGCCACTCATATTACAACAGAGGGGTCTGATCTCCAGAGACCAGGGCACCAGCTCTGTTTTAGCCATAACCATCTTCACCTCTACAGCTTCCTCCCTGCTCTCCTGGTGCTGCCAGAGCCTCCCCAGCTCCTGAGAAGACGTGACGTGATGCAGTTATGGGATCAATTCACACTCCTCATGGCTTCCCTGGTCTCCTGCTCCCCCAGGTCCAGTCACGGGCATTGGCGCTACCTTCAGGGAGTCCTCCCCTCCAGTCCTCCTCCATGCTTCAGTCTGCCCAGCCACCCCTGATTGTATTAGGTGCCCCTCCTCTGGGCACTGCAGTCCCTACTGTCCCTCTTTCCCACACTTCACCCTTGCGCTGACACCATTCGTTTCCTTCTCTAGGAGGAACTGGAGTGTGGATTCCAGACCCCACTCTTTTGCATCCTCTCCCCTCAGGGACACACATAGTAGGTGTTAACCAAAGTCTCACTAAGTGGCTAACACCGAAGGGTCACTTCTCCAGCTGAGACTGTGCAAGGGGACTCTCCCCAACCCATAAGATGTCTGGGCCTTTCCTGGGGATCCTGAAGTAAGCTCAGGGCTCACGGCTAAGAGAGAAGGCAGGCTACCTTGTCCAGGTTTTCGATACCAGCTGTCTCCTCCCAGGGAGAGCAGCCAGCCCAGCCCTGCTCTGTCCTCGACACAGGTGATGACCTCCAACAATGTGCTCAGACATACAGAAAAACAGCAGCTGGGGACCTGGGCCTCTGCTCCTAAGCAATGATTCTGTCCCATGGCAAGACTAGGACTGGGCAAATGGGGGAAGCAGGACCCAGCACAAGCAAAGGCTGTGTGTCAACCACTCAGCCTCCTCCCCTCACCAACTTCTTCTCCATTCTCCTCCAAGCCCAATGTCTTTCCTCTCTGCTCAACTACATGGCCCTGTTTTAAGCACCTGGGCAAGTGACCTCCCAGGGGGGTACTCCTTTGGTCAGCAGGTCTAATGAAGTCCCTTCAGGCCTTCAGCCAGGAAGAATAACTTCTTCCACACTCCTTTTGAAGGTGGGCTTCCATGGGGCTCCAGTCTTTCCATTCGGGGGAAGCTGCTATACTTCTTTCTGTGGAAGAAAGGGGAGCCCCCCTTTTCATCTCCTCAACATAGACCCTTTCTCCCCAACTGCACCTTCGTTATCTCTTTGAGGCTCAGGTGCAGAATTTATAACACAAAACCCTGCTTGCAAGTGTAGACCCGACCAGCAGGGGGTGCAGTCCTGCAGGCAGAAATGCAAGCAGAGTGGTCACTGTAAAGACAGGGATAAGACTGGAGGGCATGCTGGGTAGTAGTGGGGCACGCCATTAGTCCCAGCACTTGGGAGGCAGAGGTGGGCCCTCTGTGAGTTTGAGGCCAGCCTGGTCTACAAGAGCTAGTTCCAGGACAGGCTTCAAAGCTACGGAAAAACCCTATCTTGAAAAATAAAATAAATAAATAAATAAAAAGACTAAAGGGCATAATTATTTCTCCCAGCCTCAGTACTGACCATGGAGGTGGTGTTGGCCATTCTGAGACAGACAATTTCTTCCTCATGAAGGCCATCCTGTGAAAAAATGTATAGCACTGTATCTCACAGTGTGGCCCGTTAGGGTTTGGACTGCCCCGTTGGCCTTTTACACTGTGCTGGCATTTGCATAGAAGGTACCAGTGCAACCATGGATAAAACCGCCAGTGCCTTACTTTGAATGGAGGCAATGGAATCAAAGCAAGCTAGGAGTTACCCCTACCCTTTGGTTAGGTAATTTTCCTCACCAACACTCACTGAGAAGAAAGCTGGTTTTTCTTAAGTATGTCTTAGATGAATCAGGAAAGTGTTCCTTATACCACAGATAGATAGATATAAGATAATCACGAAAAATAAAGTGCAATTTTTAGTCCTTAAAATGTGTCAGTCATTAATAAAAATCAACCAAGGCTTTTTTGTTTGTTTGTTTGTTTTTTGAGGTAGGATTTCTCTGTAGCTTCAGTGCCTGTCCTAGAACTAGCTCTTGTAGACCAGGCTGGCCTCAAACTCACAGAGATACTACTGTCTCTGCCTCCCAAGTGCTGGGATTAAAGGTGTGAGCCACCACCACCACCTGGTTCAACCAAGGTATTTTTAAATTTTACACACACACATGCATGCACACACACATGCATGCACGTACACACACGCACGCACACACATGCACGCACGCACACACACACACACGCACACACGCCACCACTGCCTTTGAGCAGAGGTTAAAGGACACTTATAAGTTGGTTGTTGAGTTGAACTCAGGCAGCCAGTGGACAAGCATTTTTGCCTGCTGAGCCATCTTGCTAGCCCCAAGGGATTGTTTTCAATCCAAGTTATTCCGAATGGGCTTGCCCCATTGCTAGTGAGCTCGGAAGATCTTACGCTTTAATAAAACCCCCAAAGGTAGCGAATGAAGGGTCTGCTTATGGATATGTGATTTTGTTGTTGTTTTGTCTTTATTTCTGGTCTCCTCTGAGAGCATCTAGACACGGAGGTTCCTGGGGAAAGAGATGAAGTTCCCCTTGCTACCAGAGGGAGCGCTAAAGGACTGTGTGTGTGTGTGTGTGTGTGTGTGTGTGTGTGATCCAGACTACGTGAGTGACCCGTATGGAAACTTCCAAGTAACTGGCCTCATCATGACTGTTCCATCTCCCATTCCAATCCCTTCTCCTGCCCCACCCATGGATAAACAAGCAGATGTGTGTTCCAGTCTCTGCGTTTACCCATCCCTCCCTGAGCATTCTGCACGCATTCCTTGTTCTCAACAAGGTCTTCTGGATCAATACCAGGGGAGGCTTGAGAGGCAGCAAATGCAGCCTCAGGGTGGATGCGTCAACATCTAACCCCAACCCAGCGCATCTGACGACGTTTGTCTTTCTTCAGTTGAGGTCTCCCTTGAGGCCCACCCAGGAGGTCCCTTGAAGCTCTAACCGAGTGTGCTGTTTTCAGCTTTTCAGGGAAAAGGTGGAGCTTTCTTCAGGAACTTCTGAAACCCATAACCATTCACACAGCACACTTTTGAGAGCCATAACCTCTTTCTTACACACTCCAGTTCCAGAGGGCTCACAGATGTCAAGGATGCATGGGGAAGAGGGCACAAGTACTGTGTGCACATCTGTCTCCAAGGACTTAGAGAGACTTTGTTTGTGGTATATGGGACACACACACACACACACACACACACACAAGCACACACAAGGAACATAGGCAGCCCTTGTTCCTCTGGTGACAGCCCAGAGGTTGCTCAGAAAACCTGAAGGCTCCCTAGACCTCTAGTTGCCACTAGAGGGCAGCGTGGAGCAGGGAGAGAGTGGACCTGGTTCTAACTGCTCAGGAGAGCCACCGCCAGTTGGAGAAAATTCACGCTGCTATTTACACTATTGAAAGATAAATCTTTCAGTATACATATCTTTCAATAAAGATATCAATATATTTTGTTTCAAGATTACGCTAATTTCAGTATGTTATAGAGGTTTCAAAGTGACTAATGGAGTCCAGGGAGCCAAAAGTTCCATACCAGGTATCAAATGGACATTTCTCTCCCACTGACATTTCCACTTCCTGAAATGACTTCCTCAGAATTATTCAGGGGCTCGGACTGGACTGAAACACATCTCCTGTACCCTCCCCAAGTTTGACACGCGTCGTGGCTTCTTTGTGAGCCATACCAAAACCTAGGCAGAGAAACTAACTTCTCCCACTTTGCTACCACACGAATCTAAGCTCCCCCCAAACATGTGTGACACTGGTGGTAACAGCTGTGCTTTCCTGTCCCATGAAGAAGGAAGATGTGGCCAGGTACGGTAGCACACCTCTGTAATCCCAGAACTCAGGAGGCAGGGAGAGCCTGCACTACAAGATGAGACTTTGTCTCAAGAAAATTTCTTTAAAAAAAAATATTTATTTATTTATTATGTATACAATATTCTGTCTGTGCCTTCAGGCTAGAAGAGGGCACCAGACCTCATTAAAGATGGTTGTGAGCCACCATGTGGTTGCTGGGAATTGAACTCAGGACCTTTGGAAGACGAGGCAATGCTCTTAACCGCTGAGCCATCTCTCCAGCCGTCCAGAAATTTCTTGAGTTATATCTCAGTATATCGCACTGGCCTAGCATGTGCAAAGAGGTGTAAGTGACAAATTGTCTCAGAGAGGGCATATCCCCAAGCTAGGATATATTAGTGTAGTATGAAAGAGCGGTGGGCTGCGTTCCGCCACCCGGCTAGCTTTACCCGAAATAATTACACGGAAACTGTATTCTTTTAAACACTGCTTGGCCCATTTCTATCTAGCCTCTTCTAGGCTAACTCTCGCACCTGGACTAGCCCATTTCTAATAATCTGCTGTAGCCCACGAGCTGGCTTACCAGAGAAGATCTTAACCTGCGTCTGTCTGGAGTGGGAGAATCATGGCGACTCCTGACTCAGCTTCTTTCTCCCAGCATTCTGTTCTGTTTACTCCGCCCACTTATGTTCTAAGCTATGAGGCCAAGCAGCTTGTTTATTACTTAACCAATGAAATCAACAGATTGATATATGACACTCCCACATCATATAAGAGCTTCTCAGGTGAGCAGAGAGAAGGCACTGCAGACCCAAGCACACAGCAAAGAGAAAAGTGACATGAGAAAGGGTGTGTGAGGCGATTCCAAGCAGTTTGCTCTTGCTGGGGTGCGAAGGGCTGGTCTGTGTACCAGCAGAAGGCGATGACGTAGCTGAGGGTGAACGTAGCTGAGCGTGGACGTAGCTGAGCGTGGACGTAGCTGAGGGTGGGCGTAGCTGAGGGTGGGCGTAGCTGAGGGTGGACGTAGCTGAGCGTGGACGTAGCTGAGCGTGGACGTAGCTGAGCGTGGACGTAGCTGAGGGTGGGCGTAGCTGAGCGTGGACGTAGCTGAAGGTGGACGTAGCTGAGCGTGGACGTAGCTGAGCGTGGACGTAGCTGAGGGTGGGCGTAGCTGAGCGTGGACGTAGCTGAGCGTGGACGTAGCTGAGGGTGGGCGTAGCTGAGCGTGGACGTAGCTGAAGTTGGGCGTAGCTGAGAGTGGACGTAGCTGAGCGTGGACAAAGAAGTGACAATAGGTGCAGGGAGCTGAACCTTCTTGCATCTATGTGGTACCCATCAAAGGATTATAAGTCAGGGTGGCATTATGGTTCATGTAGATGGGAAAAAAAAGGCAACAGAAGGTAAGAGAATTAGAGGCCAAGTGTGAGGCAATCACCATCGTCATCATCATCACCATCATCATCTAGTCCATCATGAATAGCTGAAACAGAATGCCCAGGATGGGGGAATCTATAACCTACAGAGACCCATTGGTTCCCTGTTCTAGAACCAGGGATTCCAAGATCAGGTGTCCATATCTGGCAAGGGGCTTCACGCTACCTTCCCACATAGCAGAAGTAAGCAGGCAAGAAAGATACCCCATTCCGTGTTTGTCTCCTTATTTCTTATAGAATCTTTGGGGAAAGTGGTGGAGGGGCTCTTGTTATATCGCACAGGCTGGCCTCAAACACACCACATAGTCCAGGATGGTCTCAGAGTCTTTATGTAGCCCAGGCTTGCTTCTAAGCCTAGGGTTTTCTCCCGCCTCAGTTTCACAAGAGCTTAGAGTCCAGGTGTTTGCCACTGCTGAAAGCCCTTTATTAAAATAACTTAAAATTTACCCTCAAGGGCAGAACCTTCATGCCCGGTCTGCTCCTCAGAGGTTTGCTTCTTTTTTGTTGGGGGGGGGGGTGTTTCGAGACAGGGTCTCTCTGTGTAGCTTTGCTAATGTCCGCCTCTTAATGATATTACAGCGGCAGCTATATTTCAGCCTAAATTAGGATGTAAACCTAAACCATAAGAATCATCATCAAATATTACAAAACTAAAATGGGCACGGTGTTATGTACTTATCATCCCAAGAGGCTGAGGCAGGAGAATTACAAGTTTGAGTTTAGCCTAGGCTACAAAGCAAGTACTTCAGTCTGAGGACTCTCTCTCTCTAACATATATATATATATATATGTTTATATGAGATATATACATATAATATTTGTATATGAGTATTCATTTATATATGAATAATACAGAATGAGCAATACAGTAACCTATTAAAATATAATAAAATGATACTTTAAAATGTAACTAAGGCTGGGGATATGGATCAGTAGTAGAGCCCTTGCCTAGAATGCATAAAGCCCCAAATTTGCTCCCTAACACCACAAAATAAATAAAAGTAAAAACAAATATGGAAAGGAAGGAGAGACGACTCAGCAGTTAAGAATATTGGCTGCTCTTCCAGAGGACCCGGATTCAGTTCTCAGCATCCATATGGCAGCTCACAACTGTCTGTAGCTCCAGTTCCAGGGCTCTGACACACATGGAGGCAAACACCAATGTACATAAAATAAAATAAATCGCTAAACAATGCCAAAGCACATCAATTAAAAATAAATATTAAAAAAAAACAGATGGCTACAGAGAAAGTCCTACTTTAAGTGTGAAATGGAGCAGGTAGCTTGACATTCACTTGGGAGGGCCACCCATGCAGATTAAAGGATTTGAATATACACATTTCTCCAGAGAAGCTATGTCAAATAGATTATAAAAAAGTGTCCACCTTCACCATCCATTAGGGAAATGCAAATCAAAACTTCATGCCAGACTGGTGTGGAAACGCACACCTGTGGCCCCAGCGCTGAGAGAGTCAGGAAACTGATTGCAAGTCCAAGTCCAGCCTGGCCCATGTGGAGACACTGTCTCAGAAGCAAACATTGCAGACCGCTCATCAGGATGGCTACAGCAAACAGAGGAAAGAATGCACGTCGGTCGGGATGTGGAGGATTTGGAGCCTTGTGCATGGTCGGTGGGAGTCCAACTGGGAGAGATCTGCAGAAAACAGTATGGCAGGGCCTCACTATCTGAAAAGTAAAGCTAGGAGGGACTGAAGAGCTGGCTCATGTTGAAAGTACTGGCTTCTTGAAGAGGACCTGGGTTCAGTTCCCAGCATCTGCATGGTAGGCCTGTAGACGTAACTGTAAGTCCAGTTCCAGGGGACCTGACACTTTCTTCTGACCCCATCAGGTGCCAGGCACATACGACACAGACACATATGTTTAAGTAAACATTCATACATGTAAGATAAAATAAATAAATCTAAAAATTTTTAATTAAAAATGAATTTATTATATGATATAGGAATTGTATTTCTGGTTATATACCCCAAAGATTCAAAAGTATACCAGGTGGTGGTGATACATGTCTTTAAACCCAGAAGAGCCAGAGGCAGGAGGATCTCTGTGAGTTCAAGGCCAGTCTGGTCCACAGAGTGAGTTCCAAGACAGCCAAGGCTGCCTGCCACACAGAGAAATCCCTGTCTTGTAAAATAGAAAAGAAAAGAAAAAGATTCAAAAGTGCAGCTGTCAAACATGGCGATACACACCTGCAATCCCAGCATTTTGGAAGGAAGAGGCAGAGGACTGTGAGTCTGAGGCCAGCCTGGGCTACACAGTGAGACTCTGAGGCCAGCCTGGGCTACAACAGTGAAACTCTGAGGCCAGCCTGGGCTACACAGTGAGACTCTGAGGCCAGCCTGGGCTACACAGTGAGACTCTGAGGCCAGCCTGGGCTACACAGTGAGACTCTGAGGCCAGCCTGGGCTACACAGTGAGACTCTGAGGCCAGCCTGGGCTACACAGTGAGACTCTCCCACAAGCGCTCAACACAAAGGTTAGAAAACAGGATCTTGAAGAAATGTTTGCACACTCCTGCTCACAGCCGCTGAAGGTCCTCGACAGAGAAATAGACCAACACAACACGGCATGTATACACAACAGAATCAGCTTCTCCCTTCAGAAGGGAGGAAATCCTGACACGGGCTACCACAGGAATGAACTTTGAGGAAAACAACAAACCAGTGACAAAAAGACAAAGGACAGAAAGACATCCGTCTCCTTCGATGAGGTTTCTGGAGCAGTCAGATTCAGAAGACAAAACCCAGAAGGAAGGCGTCCAGGGCTAAAGGGGGGCAGTGGGGAGTGGGGGGATGGAGTCCTGCCGAAGACCACCAAAACTGATGCTTTCCAGTTTGCCAGACGAAGATCGCTGTGGACTGATGGCCATGACTGTCACACCCCGGTGGGAATAGTGACTTGACGCTTAGAGGTGATCCACACGGGAATACTTCTTCATTTATTTTGAGTTTTGAGAGGGGCCTCTTGTTGTCCAGGTTAGCCCTGCTAGATAGCTAAGGTTGTCCTTGAACTCACGGCCCTCCTGCCTTTACTCACCCAAGCGTCCAGATGATAAGGTCACCATGGTCAGAAGTAAATTTTACTATGTTTACTTGGTCATGATAATTCTTTTAAGAGAAGGAAAGAAAAAAGCATACCAGAATACAATCCCTGGGTGGGGAAGGAGGGAGGCCGGAGCATATGGGGTTTCTGGAAATGAAGGGCACCCATATCCCAGGGGCTGTGGCTTTCTCAGGGAGGAAAAGTTAGAGGCACTGATAAAATGGAAGAAAATGGAGGTCGGTGAGGTAGAATGTTGACAGTGATGTGCCCTCCACCCAGGCCTGTCTGGGGCTTCTCCCACTCAGGAGCTCGAAAAGCCTGTTAAAAAAGGAAATCTTCATGTATTGGGACCTTAACCCCTGCTGGGTGGTATATGAGATGGAGTTTTGGGTGGTGATCAGGTCACAGAGGACAGGAAGAGGCCTCATGAATGGGATTGGTACCCTTGTAGAACAGACTTGAGAAGGACAAGGATTTTTCTTGACTGTGTAGACATAACAAGAAGCAGCTGTCTGAAAACCAGACTGGGCAACCCTCCTCAGACAGAGAGCATCTGCCTTCTGATGATAGTGGGTTTCCCTGAATGCTGGCTGGGCACTGTGGCCAGGACCCTCCTGCAGGCCAGAGTATCCTGCTTGCTCTCGGGATGCAGGAGCACCAGAACTGGTTTTCAGAACCGGAACTGTAATGATGAGGCATGGGAGGTAATTGGCACTTCCCATGGGGATTGCAGGTCATGGAAGGTGGGAGGAGGGAGGGAGCTGCAAGCAGAGGCAGAAGTTAGAGAGTGGGTGCTCAGATGTGTATCAGTCACCTGCTCCCAGCCAACTTCCTTGGGGACTTCAATGCACTCCTTCACAGGGAAGCCTCAATAACAACGTCTGGAGTTTACCTCCTCCAGAGCGTTGGTTTCATGGTGGAAAGACAGTGGAATTTGACTCCGCTGCCAACATACTGGGTGACCTTGGACTGCTTACTTAGCCTCTGTGAACTCCAGGCTCATCCGCAGAAAGGGAGCCGGGATGCCACCACCCTGCTATTGTTGAGAGGATCTATGAGGTCATGTCAGTGAAAAGAGCCTTTGTGAGTCACCCAGAGCTGTGCTGGCCTTTGACTGGAACCCAGTGAACTAAGAGCCCATGAAGGAAGTTCCAGGCAGAAGCGTCGAAGCTGGGCTGATGTGTCTCTGAGGATATATTCTTGAGGATCCCGCTTCTTGGCACATGGAGATTCTAAGGCCCACATGAGAGCCAGAGGCTTCAGGAGCAGACAGGTGGACACACACAGCATGGGACAGCGAGTAATAACTGCACTGCTATGAACCCACAGTCGACACGCTGTGAAATGACTATAGATATTTCTTATCACAGGAATCACGGTCTATAAAGTCACTTGCACGCTCCGTCAGCACATAGAGACACTTACTCTAGAAAAAAACACAGGGTTTGGTTCCTGGGAGTCCCCGGACACCATCTGATTATGAACCAATCAATTCATAGCGTATATTGTGGTCATTTCTGCTTAAAGACCCCTTGTTGAGTACATACTGCCCGTTACATTGAATACACAGGCAACAGCACTGTAACGCAGCCCTTAGTGAAAATGGTCTACTTACGTACCTTTGTCGTGAGGTACATCACAGCCTTCTTGCACTTAAGAACCCCAGAGAGGATATCTGTACTCTCTCTGCTTGACAAACACAGTAAGATCACCAACAAAAGGCATTAATATACCACTCCCCCCAAATTAGCAGTATATAAACCTTAAGAGAACA